TAATGAGCAAAGGACAGTGTGGTGGCACGGGGACAAACCCCAGCAGTTGAGTAAATGGAGCCCACAGAGATTTTCCCAATCATAACCCACGTGAATCAATAGCAGACCAAGCTGGCAGCCAGTGGGAAAGGCTTCAGCAAGAGCATAATGGGTTTGATTTTCTCTGTTTCCGTCAATACCGCGGCAAATGCATTTAGCAGGGGCTGAAGGGGAGCTAATGGGACATCAAACAGCCCAGCAAGGAGAGCTTTGTCACCTCCAGCACCAACAACCCAGGCTGAGTGTTAGAGCAGAGCATCAGAGTGGCAGTGCCAGCTGTTTGCAGGACTGTGACCTCAGCTGACACCGGCAGCCTTTGGAGGTGCTCCTCTATCAAACCCTCTCTGCTCTGTGAGACTTCTTTAAACCTTTTTTTAAAGTTTTTTATTTTTTCCAGATGAGTTCAACTGGAAATTTTGTTGCTCCCTAAAGCTAAATGTGCAACAAAGCCTCCAGCCTAAATCAGTGCTGTTCTGAGGTGGACTCCACGCTGTCTTTGTAGTAAGCTGTGTCACAGGCAGCACCAGGGTGCCCTCAGGTGTGCCCTGGGTAGCTCAGGAGCAGTGGAAGCCCTTTGCCTTCCCTTTGCCTGCATTCAGTTCTGACACGCTCGCTGAACAAGCTCAGCTTAGTTCATGATATTTTTAATTAAAGTCAGGAAGTGCTGGATCTGTAATCCCAAGGAACCTCAGCTTGGGGTGGGAGGATTTCAGACAACAGCAGTGTTGAGGATTGCAACCACTGTGGTGTTTGCTGCCCCAGAACTTCCTGAGAACATGTGCCTTGGTCGTAAGCAGCTCCTAAACATTCTGGTGAGCTTAATAAAACCTCGCCTTGGGCAAACCTCTCTCTTTCTACATGATAGCACTAATCCTAATGTGGCTGCACTTTAATAAGGAGTTCTCCAGCACTTCTTCAGTAGGGCTGTTATGTAAGACGTGCAACCCTAACGGGAAATTACAGGAGACAGGGCTAAAAATGACCTTTGGAGGTCGCCTGATCCTGCCAGGGGGAGCTGGGACACTGCCAGAGCCAGGGCTGGTTGGTGCAGGGGGTGGCAATGGGTGGCCACACAAACCCAGCAGTGCCAGGCTGGGTTGTTCATGTTCAAACAAGGCAGCTGGAAGGGCATGGATGGCTGTGATAACATGTTCCAGCCAGGAATGCTAATACTGAAGTCATTAAATCAATTGACGGGGAAGGACAGGGCAGGGAGATGGTTTGTGTGGCACTGGATCTGCTGGTTAGCATGGAGAGCCTTTCCTGAACATGTGGAGCTGTCAGGGAATTCTGGGAGGGTTTAAAGCAGCCCTTGCACAGCCTTGGTTTTCATCTGCTATTCATGGAAAGGTTATTTGGTTTTCATTGTGGGGTGCTGGGTGTGGATTTGAATGACCAAAATCCGATGTAATTTATATTAAATTTAATAATAATAATACTACAACTATTAAATTCCTGCCAACACAATGCAGAAAGAGCAGCATGACCAATGGCTCTCTCTGCTGAAGCTGGATACACTTGAACCAAACATTCATTGCCACACATCAAAATATCCCTGCACACAACACCCTCAATTCTTTGCCGAGCTGAATCATTGGCAGTTCCCCTCCTTTACACCCTCAGCTTGGGCTGTGCCAGCTCTCCAGATCCTGGAGACCTCCCTCAGGAACACCAACACCCAACAGAGCTGAGCTGGTGGCAGCAGAAAGTGCTGCTGTTCACGAAATCCAGGGGAATTTTGCATTACCCTGACATCCTGTTTTCCCATTTTCTGGCCTAGAGGATGCAAGGACTGGCTGGTGCTGTCTCTGGCCAGGTGTTGCATCTCCTACTCTTTCTTTCCCCCAGGTAAGGCATTAGGTAAAATCCCTTCCTCGTTTCACACTGGGCTCGTTATCAAGCTCATCTGAACAAGCAGAAGGGGAGGTTGAACCCCAGAGTTTTTGCTTTTCAGGTGCTTTTCAGGGATCTCACAGGTGGGCAGAGAACCTCAGAGTTTAAGTTCTCCAGTGCAGTCCCACAGGGAGTTGCAACCCTTCAAAAAAAATATTAAACCATCAGAATGTAACCCGACATCCTCGAGCATTCTGAAACAGCAGAGGATAATCTGGCTTAAAGGACATGATGAATTCCTTGGGAGACTGGGATCAGGCTCAGTCACACAAAACTGGATAAAGCCAATGCACAAATGTGCCTTTGGCAGCAACACAAGTGTCTGATAACGTCTGACATAACCCCAAAATATCTGCCAGCTTCAAGAGTGGGGATGTCAAAGGGAACAGAGATCAGCTACGTAAATATTGATGTTCCCTTATGACATGTTGGAGTGATGGATGTGGAGACAGGGGATTGTCACTGCATTTCCCTAAAAGCAAGATATTTGATATTTCTGTGTCTCCAATACTTTCTCTCCCTGTCTCCAGGCTGATTAAGAATGGATGGATCATATAGGTCTTCTCATAAATACTTTTAGATGCGACTTTTTGGTTTGGTTGGGTTTTTTAAGGTTTGGTGCCAGTGTTTCACTTTGTGTGTTTTCAATTCCTCCATCTCTTATGTCCTTGGCTGACTTCTCTGCTCATTTTCCCCTCTAAGCTCGTGGCATCACAGCATAAATATATTAACAGATCCTGAAATATATATATGTGTCTAGTCTATGTGTCAGGAAGACTCACATAAGTTAGGATTTGCTTGCTCAAGCTTTTGGTAGATGGCCTAATTTCCCCTTTTAATCAGATTACAGGAGGAGCTTTAAAGAACTGTTTCACACTTCAGGAGGGTTGAGGAAAGGCTCAGCTGGTGGGAGCTGGCACTGGGAGGTTGGGGACCGAGACAGAACAGGGTGGTTTGGAGCAACAGAGAGCCCAGCTCTGGGCTCCCACTGCAGAAATAAAAGTAAGAGACAGATTTTGCCAAGAGGTGCCTCATCTGAGGAGCTGAGAAATGGGAAACCAGAAAACTAGAAAAGATAAAGAGTTGAAGAAGAATCCAGGAGGGAGTTTGCATGGAGTGGACACAGTGGGAACTGGGCTGGAGTGTTAAGTCTGAGCCCGAGCTCATCTGGCTGTGCACTGGTGACCAAGGAATTTAGAGCTGGCAGTGCCAGCCCAAGTGCTGGGTCAGCCCCTCGGGAAAGATGGGTCCTCAGGAACCGTCCAGTGTGGGAAACAGCAGGGAGGAGAGGGGGGATGTGCTGGGAGCTGCTGCCCGTGCTAATGAGTGAGCTGAGAGGGAGCTCCTGCCCAGAGTGCCTGTGATGTGCTGGGAGGGGCCCTGTCGTGTGCAGTTAATTGAATAAGCTGTTCCTCTCCCAAGTGCTCATCCGAGCCGGGCTCAGGGCTCTCCAGAGATGCCCCATCACCAGCCAGGAAAGGCCTGATGCAGCAGAGCGAGCAGAACCTCACTTCACCTCCTTCCCTCTAATTGCACAGGCTATTTTTGATCCGGGGCCGGGCTGGGCATTAATCAGCTCTGACAAATGACTGTGTGTTATCTCCGTGTTGTGTGAATTCCCATGCATATTTTACCTGCTGCAGTCTCTAAGAGCAGTAAGTGACACCTTAATCCCCATCTTTGTTTTCTGGGCAGGCTGGAGCAGTGATGAGGTAGCACAGGAAACTCATGGCCAAATTCATCTGCCAGTCTAAACCAGTGAGCAGCTCTGGTGTCAGTGCAGCCTTGCAGGGCTGTATCAGCTGGCACTACTGCCCTGATAGCCATGGATTCCAGACCAGTAATCAGAACTGTGCTAATTATGTGGCAGGATGAGCTCAAATGTGTGACAGGAACTGACATCTCCGAGAAAGTTGAGCGGATCACTGAGTCAGGAGTGAGAGCGTGGTGGGATTCCACACAGAACGAGAGGCACAGCAGTTTTTCTGCACTGAGAAAGTACCTTTTTTCCTTAGAAGAGGTGTTTTTTCTTACCCCTGAGTGCTGTGTTCCCAGGCACGCATCTCTCTCAGACACAGGACTTTAACAGCAGAAATTCTGAGTGACCCCAGGAATGTGTGATGGTGAAGCTCTCGGGTGCTTTCAGGGCTGGATCAGGGATCTCCTCTTCTTTCACCAAGTTCTTGGGAGCAGCCTGGGAGTGACTCCTGTTGTTGACAGCCAAGCAAAGGCTGGCCCTGTGTGGGTCTGGGAGCTGCTGGTGAATAGAGCCGGGTTTTGCTCCGTGTCTGAGCTCCCAGAGCACAGCAGGACAGCAGGTGTGCCCCGAGGAGGGCGTGCTGTGCCCTGGGGTGTCGACTGCCAGCCCCCCAGGCCTTGAGGACACACAGCTGGTTGCCAGCCCTGGGGACACACAGCTGGCTGCCAGCCCCCAGTCCCCAGGGACACACAGCTGGCTGCCAGCCCCCCAGGCCCTGGGGACACACAGCTGGCTACCAGTCCCTCAGACCTTGGGGACACACAGCTGGCTGCCAGCCCCC